AATTCTTCTGTTGTTTTCTCATAAGCTTTCAAAGTTGTCCGTCATTTAGCTCCACACAATGCTATTTTATTCATAATGGTTTTGTAAGTGTTTTTTTAGCATTGATTTTCAACATTTTTATGATGAAAAGTTTTTTTTTGAAGAACAACATGCTAAGCATGTTGTTGTTCTATAGCTTATATCTGTGGTACTTTTCCAATCACTTGTAATTTTTCTTCCAATAGGTGTGTGAAACTATTCAAATTATTCAGTTTAATATTTTCTCTTGTTATATTATATAATTTGTATGATTTTTTTATTTTACAAAATATAATTGTTGTCTTGGCACTATTATTTTTAATGTTATAGCTCTGTTTCAATGTCACTTTTATAWATGAAGTTGCATTTTTTTTTACTATATTATAACTGTTATCATTGCAATGTCACCTACAAAAAATCCGTAGGTACCCTACTATAGWATTCCATTTATATTTATTTCTCTAAAATTTTCATTTCTTAGGTATTTTATTCTGTTTGAAAAATGTACTCTATAGACAACGGTATTATGATTTGGTCTTAACGATTTTACTGCCGTTTACTGTCAATTCATTTTAAACCACCCGATAGGAAATTTTTGGTAAAAATACATTATTAAATATGATAAATATATAATATAAGGTGATTCACAAAGCATAAAGATATTGGTTTTTCACATGTAGGTATCAAAAACTAAAATATGCAAACCTTGTGTTGTTTTTTATTAAATCCCATCAAACTTGCGTATTATTACACAATAACATTGTTATAGTATATTAGTAATATACTGATACTGCAGCTCTAATATACGTGATCTACCTATATATTGAATCTATAATATTCTGTATGACTATATTCTATGTATGAATAATACGAATGCACAGTAATAATAATAATAATAACTAATATTTACAGATTGCGCGACTATATTACCAAGCCATCATTTGGATTTTCTGAACTTGTACACATTATATAGTATTATAGTATTATAGTAAAAAATATTTTCTGTAATACTCATCGTAGAAACATTTACAATTCTCAATATTTCTTTAAGGGGTCCGAAAGTGAATTACATATGTGACTGATGTGAATCTTACCTCTACGAACCTCAAAAAAGTGATATATTATGAAGGATCGGTTATTTAGACTTCTTTGCACACACTGCATTTCTATTATAATATGTTAAATGTCAAAATTGTATATTACGTTTCAAAAGACTGAAATGTTATATTTCACTATGTGTATAGTCATATTTGCATACATCGTGAAGGTGTAGAATGGCACCGAGCAATATAGATAGTTTAAATGATTCACGATATTAAAAAAAAAGTTTTGAATAAATCGCATTTTAACCACATTCTTTCGAATATTCACAAAGGGAGTTAACATATTTTAATTACTAAAACATATTGGCATTTTATATCATAAAATAATATGTCTTTTTAGTTGTTATATTAACTAGGTATTATTTTTATATGTTGTTTTATAAATCAGCATGCACACTGGGACGGGCTTCATTAAATGCAATTGTTTAAACAAATAATATACTCGTAATTTCACCTCTTTTTTATTACACGCTTTCACAATTATTAAAAAAAAAACATTGAATAACGAGAATTGATTTATTAACGTAATCATTTTTTGACAGTTCATCTAGTTTACTTTTCTCTGTGTTTCTGTATGSCTTTCGAGTAGGTTAGGCTTACCACAATATTTCTGATGCATGAAAGATTGTGGATTTGTGGATTTATAAAACCTTACTGTGGAATTCTGGTGAGTTTCTGGTTGTCACAGTGACCAAGTAACAATGATATTTTTAGTCAGTCAGTGAGTTTTATATGCAACTTTTGTCGCAGAAGTTTTCTCCTATTCAGTTTTCACCATCCGATTCTCCATTACACAATTTTCTGGTTTGTTTATCACGTTCACGAGTGGGTTTATATTATTGTGTTTTGCTTTTATATAAGTAATATTTTTTTACATCGTCGTTYGTGAATGTTTATTATAATTTAGTTTTATGCATTAATAATTAGATAGCCTTGATAGATTTCGACACGACAATATTATTCACATTATCACTTATAGGTACATATTATTATTTCCATTTTGCTTGTACTGATAAAAAATTGCATATACCTACCACTTAGAAATTATAATTTATTGTATTTACAAAGTACGATCAGGTATTATAATATAGATAGATATGAAAAATCCTAAGATAACGTTGTTAAAATATAGATACCTACGAGTTATACGAAGCACGACGATTCTTATAGCAAATTACTATAACACATAAATGTGTGTATTATCGTACATTATCGTTAGTACATTTATAAACCAATGACACATAATATGCTCAATCTAGCGAAATGTAATTTTAGTGTGATAGGCTGTATAGTATATTCATATATACGTAGTTCACAGCACATTCTGATCGGCTAAAATGTTTTTGGTAAATTCTTGCAAATATCAATGAAGCTCTCTTAACTAAAAAATGCATAGGCACTACGTACAACAGATAATTTTTATTATTAATTAGCTATATTAGAGAGCTTCTCGATTTCAACCGAGAAAAAGTTGCAGTTATAAAATGTACTGGCACTCAGTAAATATTAATTTTTTCAATGTATTTCAGTTCACAGGATGTCAGTGTCGGTGTACCTGGGTTTGTGAACAATACCAACTGATATAGGGAAACCGCTTACAGTGAATTAGACACTATGCTTAATTTATTTTAATTTGAGTATACACGAGTTAATTTGTTTAGATTTTCCTCCACCAATGAAAATTATAACCAATTATTTTATTAAATTATTAACGGCATCCTCAAATCCTGACATAGCAGTATCTGCAATCTACATACATTTTAATACAATAGGTAACTAATTATAGATACGTACCTACTGCCAGTATGGACTTATTATCAATTAGGTAYACGGAGATTGGAATTTGTATTATTTGTATTATTATTATTTTTTTTTTATTATAAATCTACCTATCTAAAAAAACATACCTAACATAAATTTAATGCTTTATAAGTTTTACATAACTGTCCGGAGTATTAAAATTTAGTTTATTCCTGATTATTGGATTTTTTTTTTGTGTTCATATAGATCTACAACATCATAAAGAATATTTTGAAAAATCATCTTGAAGCAGTATAAACATAATATTTTGAAAAATCATCTTGAAGTAGTATAAACATAATATTTTTATTATAACGAAGGCAAAAATATAATGACGATAAAAATGGTTCAATCGTGATGTTGTTCAAAAACAGTTTTTTTGAGGTCTAGTTTTTGATTTTGTTTCATTTTATTGACTCTAATTATTGCTATATATCTAAAGTAAAATCTAAATGCAGTAGGTTCTCGTTACAACGAATACCGATACGACGAAAAATCTCGTTATAACGAAAGTCATATAAGTCCCTTGCTGAAAAGCTATTAAATCAATGTTAAACTAATCTCAATATAACGAAATTATTGCTTTTTAATAATCCCGATACAACGAACTATTTGTGCAGGTTAAAATATATTTATTTCCTTTCTTAATTTTATCTAAACATTACAAGCATACGGTTTTACTAAATTATCAAGCCATTAAATTGTCATTATGTGTGACCGTGTTATTCCGCGTCAATCGATAACGCGACACAATCAGTCGGGTGTGAACCTTCAGAAAGCTCTCACGTTGGTAAATTTTATTTTTCCGTATTTTATGCTCCTTCTTTAAGTAGGTACGTGATGAGTTCTACAGTGAAAAGAAATAAATTTTCGTTGGAAGAGAAGAAAAAACATAATTTCTGAAGTAGACAAAGGRTTGAAGAAAGGCGAGGTGGCAAAAAAGTATAGCATATCTCCATCAACATTGTCAACCATTTCGAAGAACCGAGAAAGCATCTTGAAACAACTTCAGATTTCTGTTTTTGTCCCGAGCAGGAAAAGGATACGTAAAGCACAATTTGAAGACGTTGATATAGAGGTTTATGAATGGTTTTAAGATGTTCGTTCCAGAATCGTTCCTTTGGCTGGTCTTTTAATTCAAAAAAGCTTTAGAATTTTCTAAAATGCTCGAAGTTGAGAATTTCCAATTAAGGRTCGGATAGTTAAATCGTATGGTGTGTTGTCCAAATGCATTTCTGGAGAGGCAAGTAATATGCTGATGAATTCTGTTAATGAATGGCGAAATGGAAAAGTTGTTGCACTCATCAAAAACACAGCCCGAACGATGTCTTTAATGCAGATGAAGCTGGAATGTTTTTTTCAGCTTAAATTAAAACAGACATTACCCCAGAAAAGAGACAAGTGTATAGGAGGTACAGCTTCCAAACAACGCATCACCGCTCTTTTCTGTTGTAATAAATTGGGAACGGAGAATCRAAAAATCCTCATCATTGGCAAATCCGCAAAACCCCGTTGTTTTAAAAACTGTAAATCATTGCCATGCATCTATAAATTTAATAAGAAATCCATACTCAAATAACGTTTAATGATTGGTTGATAGATTTTGATAGAGAAATGAAAAAGAAGAAGAGGAAAATTCTTCTTCTTATCGAAAACTGTACTCCACATAATGAACCTCCAAAATTGAATAACATTCGTGTGGAATTTATCCTACCTAACTGTACAGTTTTACTTCAACCTCTTGACCAAGGTATCATCAGAGCTATAAAATCACGCTATAGAACTTTTTTATTACGTAAAATTTTATGTGATATGAAGATTGGGATGATATCATTAAATCAACAATAATTAACTGTTGGAAACATGCAACCACAACCAAAGACGCCAATTCTGTTTCAGTAGTGACTGAATATGATGAATCAAATAAGCGCGACATCCAACAATCTGATTTCAGAATCTGCAAATTTGAATCACTGCGAAAAAGAAAACGTCGCTTTCTGACGACGTGAATTTAGAAGACTATCTCGGTTCAGATGACAACCTTTCAACATGTTATGAACTAACCAAAGTAAACATCATTCAATCTATTAAAAACAACAAAGACGAGGCCACCGATGAAAGTAGTGGAGACGAAGACGAAGAAGCTGTGATGGGAAATGATGTGCGCAATGTCACTTCATCAGAAGCCTTAACAAGTTTGGAAGTAATGCGAACATTCATTACATCACAGAGTGATGTACCAGACTTCATCTTTACAAACATTCACCAATTACAAAATTATTTACTTTCTATTAAAACAGCAAACCTTGTTCAAAAGAAAATTGTTGATTATCTATAATAAAGWTATTTATTTTTTCGCAAATTATTTACATTTTTTAAAAGTGTCAATTATTTATAATAAAGTTATTTATTTTTTCCAAAAATTATTTTCGCTTGAATTATTTATTTATTACAAATTTACATACAATTTGTATTCGAATTTTCATAATTTTGTTACAAAAAAATTTCTGTTATAACGAAAAAAAAAAATTGGTCCGTTGGAATTCGTTGTAATGGGAACTTATTGTATTATGATTCCTTAGATACAAGTATGAAACTTTTGAAGTATTTTAAGAAGTAAAAAAAACTCATCACTGCGCACTGTAAACTAATAACTTCTATTGAATGACAATAAATTATTTGAGTATATATTTGAAGTTGGAAAAAACTTTGTGYAGCTTAAATAAATACTTTATTGACTAAAAATAATTAATAAGTATATGAAATTAACATGCAATTCAAGGCAGAAATTTAAGTTGAATCTGATATTCAGGAAGTTTCAATTTTTAAACTTAAAATTAAAAAAAAAGTAGGAAGTGAATGTCCCTCTTCTGTAGAGTAGGTTACAAGTGGTTTGCTTTAATGGATAGTATTAAATTTGAATTCAATAATATCATGCAAATGTTTACGAAAAACGATTCTGAGTGGAGAGGGTTTATCAGTCTAGGATATAGTATATTATACTATAGTAATTATATTCTAAGTATAAAAAAAAAAAAAATGTAGGTGCCTATAAAATAAATTACAAATTAATCAAATCCGATTTTATATGTACCCGACTCACTCAGCCATTCTTGGAAGGTATATACAATTTATTATAAAGTATTAATATAAGTTATTAACGACATTAACTATTAATATTACAATATAAAGTACTTATACTCTAGAAATTTAAGTACCCATGATTAATATTTTTAAATTACAACAATATGACTAAAATTGTTATTCTTGGTTATTTAATAATATCTAATTTAATTCAGATTTTAACTTAATATAACTATAAAAAATCTGTGTTTGTATAGTTTTTAGATTTTTTCGCAGCAAAATTAACTACTTAGGTACATGGACCCTTTTTTTAAATTTTCAATCCTTAGCTATAAAATTGAAACGTTTTATACATTTTTAACAACTAAATTATTTATATTCATAAATCCGATTAAATAAATGTTGTCTACATTTGAACTTTAAACGGTTAAGCTATTAATTATCAAACTGAATTCTTAAATTCACTTGATTCGTCAGACATGCCACTGCACGTTCTAACATTGAAATTTGGCGTGCCCATCATTCTTCTACGAAATAAAAATTCACCACAACTATGAAATGGTACCAGGCTTTCAGTAAAAATTTGATGAACAATATTATCGAAGCTACAATTTTAAACAGAAAGTTTAAAGGTGAATTGTTGCAACGCATCTCAATGATTCCAAAATATATGCCATTTGAATTCAAATTTTTGCAGTTTCCGATGCGACTCGCCTTTGCAATTACCATCAACAAAGCACAAGGACAATCGCTACAAATGTATGGATTGAATTTGGAAAATCCATTATACTTCTCACGTGGATATCTGTATGTAGTATTCTCACGTGTCGGGAAACCTTTTGATTTATTTGTGTACGCACCAGAAGGAAAAATATATTGTATATCCAAATGCATTTCAATAAATATAATTTAATTGAATACTTGATTTCTTAGACTTTTCTTGATAAAACGAATAGAATTACATAATAATAAACTAAATTGATTATCAGTAYAAGATTATTACTTAGTTTATTTTAACCGTTATTTATCTATATGTATAAAAAAATACTGCAAGCATGATCACAAGTAACGAATTTAACACATAGTTTAAATCATTTAAGACTTTAAGAGGTAAGCTTTTTAATCAGCTACGAAGTGCACGTGTTCGATAGTATATATATATATACTTTACATTTTTGTATATTTGTTTACTCCTGATTAAATGTGGTACTTATATGCAACTTATATGCAACTTTTATCTGTTTTAATTCAGACAATTATAATCTTAATGCCCTAGTAAAATTAGAAAACTAGCATAAACATAATAAATACTATCGCTAAGGATATTTTCAAAGACTCAAATAGTTGAAGCATTTTTCCGATTATTGGTGCAACAACCATACAAATCTGGTTTTCAAACATGAAAAAATCATATAAATAGAAATTACTTGTTTTGGTAAAAAATATTGATTTCATAAGTAGGTATAATGTATATACTTATATTTTACAACTAACTAGACGTCTTCAAGTTTAATTTGTTGACTTTGAGATTACACAAATTTGAATTTGATAATTTTTCACTGGCTACTACCTAGTACCTATATGAAATGAGGAATTTTATTTAGTTGAGAGCCTTAATTTGTTTGGTACATTATATAGAAGACTATTCACATTTATTTCCATAGTGTAAAAGTATATAGTATTTGTTTTGATTTAAATGCATTTAATTAATAAAATAAAAAAATAACATGTAMATTTTTGAAGGTATTTAAAGAATACTTAGGATTATTCAATTGTGTTAGCCGGGGGGCCACAAATGAAGAGTCCAAGGTGCGGAGTTCAGGGCGAGGGCCCTGCATTTAAAAAAAAATTTTATTAACATTAAAGTACATAATATTGTACAATCAAAGTTTAAAACKTAACTAACTATACTTAATACAGTAAGTTTGTGAAGATGAGTAYCTGGTACATCTTACATACCTATACAAACATTCACAACATCCACCCAAATAAGAAATATAACTTACAATTTACTAAATTAAAGTATCTACTGACCAAATGAATTGCATTTAAAAAATAATCATAAAACAGTTGTAACTAAAATATTACAAAAMTAAATTAAGATATTTTAATGTATGTCAGATAATTGATAGTACATTGATTTTATCAGTATTCATATTTTCAAAACGAATTGAAGTGTCCGCATATACACTAAGAGCGTTTGGCAAAATAAACATTAACAAAAAATAATCACTTAATATGTGTTCAATACAGGTGTGTATATTATATTCAGTAGAAGGGTCTTAAAAGTAGTGTATTTTACTCGGGGGCTGAAAAAAAAACTATATATCCCTGCTGACATAATACTATAATATGTATGCCAAAAATTATAATATACATTGTCATATTCTACATACAGTCATACAGAAAAAATATTTATTTTTTTTTAATGATGAATAATTAAGTATTTTTACTAGCACAATAAATTGTTTTCCAGAACAAACAATGTGTCACAGTGAAAACAAAAGGTATCCTCCTTAAACTCAGAAACTAMAATAAATATGGAATTAGCCATACACTGTTTATAAACGTATTGAATTAATAATAATATATTAAACATTAAATATTATAAAAACTGTGGTTTAAACTCATTTTATATAAAAGAAAACATTTGGGGTTATACTAATGAAAAAAATGTACGTATAATAATGAGTAATTATTCATATGAAAAGAAGAACATTTATTCGTTATTTTTTCAATAAAATTATGTTTTTCTAAAATTTGGAAAGAATATGGTATTTATTTTTTTTTWAATTTTGACAATGGGGTGACTAGTGAATGTACTAATTATAAACGTTGAAAAATTAAAATGTACCTAAAGTAGTTAAGTCTAGTTGCATTAGTTTAAAGAAAAATCTGTTCTAAATGCATCATATTATATATTATAATTAATTATAATAGTAATATTATAATATTTAATTAAAATAAAAATTATTATTTATAGTTTATGTTATAAATGATTATGTATCTAATTGGGTAAGCATATATTTTATGCATACATTCACTTATTGTGTAAATACCATTGAATTCATTATAAACAACACTAAATATATACATAATCAATAATCATACTAATTTACCTGGGTGTTTGAATTTTGATCGGCTGTGAATATATATTTATGCCCTGATTTTGTAGATTATAATTAAAATTATTTCCTGGTGGTTTTATATTTATCTGTAAAATACAAAATAAACAGAATAAAAAAAAAAAACTATATTATACAACAATATGTTATTTATTTATAATTTATGTTACACTATTAACTAATGTGTATGTGTTTTAATCAACTAATAAAAAGATTACAGAAACTGAAGTTATTTTATTTTATTTTTTAGAGTTTGCATTTATTAAATACTGATTCATACACAACTTAAATTARAAAATCAGGTAAAATCTACGCATATAAAATATTACTATATATTCTTAATAAATAATTAAATATTCTTATAGATAACTAAAAAATTAAATTAGCTGTTAACAGATTTAATACTTAAATTTAATTTTTTTTATTCCCATGATAATTATTTTTTAAATTTTAACTTAAGCATTCATTATAAACTTTTAATTCAAACTTAACGAAAAGGTTAATTTCAAGGACAAAATTAGTTTGTCCTTTATTTGTACAAGTGTTAAAAATGAAAATGTCTGCTTCTGAATGTTTAATAGTAAAAGCAATTCGTATACCTACATTGTATATGATTTGAATGGGCGATTGTAAACTCTCCCGATATTAATGGCATGTAAACTCTCCCGATAGTAAAATCTCCCGAGTTTAGTCCAATACTACCTGACRGGAACATGTAAAATCTCCCGGGTCTAGTTCAGTACTACCTGAAAAGAACATGTAAACTCTCCCGGGTCTACTTCAGTACTACAAGTTAGCTGGGGAGCATGGGGTATTATTCGTTTTACACAGTTAGAATTGGTTGAGCCATTATAGTCGATATCGTTTTAAATATTTAAATTAAAAATACTTTAACATTAATTAAATATTTAAATGACAAATACAGGTTAACACAGATAAATACAGATTAAATACGGTAATATAATTCATAATAAAAATTATAATCACAATCTCTGCAGTGTRRCHAATTCATARRGTAGCAATAACATTTAAAATAACTCGGGAGAGTTTGCACATTTCTTTCAGGTAAACATAATATTTACCCGGCAGAGTTTACCATCAGGAGAGTTTACTAATTTTAAAAATCGGGAGAGTTTACCATACAATAGGGAGAGTTTACCACCGCCCGATTTGAATAGCATATATTTAAAAAAATATTATTTAAAAAAAAAATGCAATTATGACATACAATTTTATTATTTTTATTTTGTATATATATTTCAATTTAAAACATTGACATAAAATATATTCAAATAACAATTTGCATACAAAAATTTATATAAGAAAAAACAATTTTTTCAACTTAATGGTTTTATATTATTGGTAATACAAATATTGTATTCTATATACTCTATCATATTATTCAAATTTAAAAATTTAATTTATACTTAAAATAAACTAATAAATTATTTTATTAATATGTTCATCACACAAACGATTTTCTATTGTGTTTTAGCGCTTACCTACTGAAAATATTTCGAAGCATTCTGTTTGTCATGCTAAAGATAGATATTATAATATTCCAATTCATGAATCTAATTACACAATATRGATTTTAGAATAAAATTAGAGTTTTTGTATTATTGTCTTTAAACAACTCTTTCAAATTTTAGTCATGTGATTTACCTACATGACTGTGTTAAAAATCTTTAAATGGAGATTAATATAGGGTAAATCCAATGAAATTTGTCTCGGGAAGTTTTGAACATATCTAGCTACACCGCCACACCGGTTATTAAACAACGAATTACAGACAAATTTCTAATGATAAAACAAGACGCTCATGTGTACTCATTGGTACTTTGAGCAGCGAAGTGCACGGGAATCAGCTAGTATGGTATAAATRAAACATTTTTTTATTTAGTAGTTAAAATTCGTATTTGGATTTTATRCAAATTTTTACGATGGAATTTAAAAATTTATTAAATTTGCATTGCATTAATATTATGTCTTTAAACGCTACGCAATATCAAATTATTGTTTTAGCTTGAGTGTTCTTACGAGTAAATATCTTTTATAATCACATCACAATTAAAATTATAAACTAATAATATTTTCTATGCACATTCTAACACGAACTGCATTTAAAATATCTTAATATTGCCTATACTGAACTCTTTACATTACAAATACCCTTTTAGATGATTTATAGATAAAATTAAAAATATACCTATTTATAAGACATACATATTATGTTATAGTTTTGTAATTTATGTAACCGTAAAAAAATAAATATACAAACCTGAAATTTATCTCGATGTATCATTAAGAAATGTTTAACTTTAGAAACATCGTTCGTACGAATAGCCACTTCCAATAATTGACTTTCAAAACCAAGGTGGTCTGTAGATACAGAAGAGCCGATACTATAAACAAAAATATTGATCAATACATATTAATAAAAGTAAATAATATTTTAATATAATAACAGCGTATTTATCAAACAATTATTTTAAACTATTTTAATGAACATAGTTTAAGTTTAAAATGTATTAGTTTTTTATTTATTATGGAACGATAAATATTTTGGTTCCACAAAGATGTGTAGTCTTTTTTTGTGTTCTGATTTCTTATTCCTACTGTACAACAGAATGGTTCTGCATTTTTGTTTTGCATTGATAGTTTGGATTTTAATGGCAAATTTAATTGATGAAATCAATGATTTAGTGATCTTATTGTTGTTTTTATATGATTAAGTTACTATTTCACAAACCATCAAACAGTTCGTTCGTATATCTTGGTATAATGACAAAATATAAGTTAAAATATACTATAAAAAAGTTGGACCTACAGTATTAATTATAGAAAAATAAATTAATAATAATTTAATTATTATAAATTAATTTTCTTCGAAATACACACTAACACACTGTCCATACCAGAATCCGTTTTCATATGAAATGATTTATTTTATTCACATACATTACAGTGACGCACTTAACGATGAAATAAATGTGAAAAACACTAMACTGCAGCAGAGTTACGCCCCAGTTTTTTTTTAATTTTGAGACTGATAATTATACTATTGAGATTCTATAATCATATGTACTATGTATTTATCAGGATTTCCAATTAAATTTTTTTTATTATAGCCCGTATATTATTTCACTTATTTTTTGTCCTTTGATTTTTCAAATGCCCAATTGAGTAAGAAGAGTTTTTAAAATAATTTATAATTTAATTCACTGAAAAAAGAAAAAAAAGGTGCGTTATTAATATTAATCACGATTCTATAAAAATAATTTACACTATGATATTATATTTCACGCCATAAGTATAACTATTGTTTTTTAAATAAAATTAATTCACGTGTAACAAAATTATATAATCTACATCACATAATATTACTATTGTAAATATTATTACAGATTGTACCTATATTGTATAAATAAATGTTAAAAAAAAAGTCTTAATATATAGGTTTGATAGGTACATACTACATACGTTATGTTGTTCACAATATGATATTAAGTTTATTTTATTAATTCTTATTTTTAATATTGTATAAAAAATAAAATATCCAATTATAACAATGCAAATTATTTATATACCACTCGTGGCCAAAGATCAATAAAAAAATTTTGTTTTTAGTCTTAATTCCATAACTGAAACAGAAATAACCTTAAAATAAAATAATATGTTGATACAACGGTGTACATAACTAATGAACAAACATATTGCTGCATGTTTTGTTTTTCATACTCAAGAATTTATGCTAGTTGTATGTAAATATCTATGATGAAAATCACTATCGTTCAAAATATAGCTATAACTATTAATGTTTGGATGTTACTGACATATTCTATACAAGCAATAAAATTTAAGAAATATGTWTTATAATAATTAAAGCTTAAAGAACAGTGTACTTTATAATATGTTGAATAACTTAAAATGGGCGTCTAAAAATTATTGAAATTAAGTTTTGACATGTTATTTTCTTCTTTGTTAGTTTCTATCTCCAAGATTTAATAAGTTTACTAAAGAATTCTCAGAACTGTACTGTAAACAGCATAAACATAAACATCCAGAACATTCTAATAATATGTACTACAATATAYGACAAACTAAATAGTATATTCATGAATATTTGTTTTCATAAGAGTCATGAGCTAAATTTTATTAATTAAAAGTTTATGAAATTTCAGATAAAAAGTACATAGTTTACGAAAAATTGATAGTAGGTAAGTAATAACTTAMCTATCATTACTATTGAAATAATATTTATTTTCAAATAATTGTAGTAATCTCATTTATTTCATAAATATTATACAAATTTAAAAGTTATTTTATAGTGCATTGTATTATATTATTATATATAAATAGTGTATTTAATATTTAGCTAAAAAATTAATGAAATCGTTTTTGAAAAAAGATAATAATCTATATTTTTTTTAACATTTTGAGTTAACTGATGATTTACGAAGCGTATTGCCTATGTTATTAAAATGTATTATTTTACCATTTTACGTTTTATGTGATGACTGTAGGGAAAACGTACCTACTAATTTTACAATTATGTGTTTTTTTTATAAGCTCTTTTGGCACTGAAAAAAATTGATTTTTACTGGTAAAATATTCTCAATATTTTTCTAAATAATTGGAATTAACAAACTAAAAATTAAGGAAAAGACGGGAATTTTTACGCACAATCAGTTTTCAACAAAATCGATTTTGGTTTTTATTGACTTAAGTTGAACTATTTATAGGCATATGCCATTTTCAATCATTATTAGTTTTTTTTAAATTAATATAGATAAAAATGTATTTGTTGGGTAGAAAAGCTTGAAAATTTAATACGAGACAACTAACACATTTTTACAATAGCAGTTGAATAATATTAAAAATACATGTGCACGATTTATTTTTAAAATAGAAGTTAAAATATAAAATAAATATACAGTCAACATTT